ATATATATATATATATATATATATATATATATATACACACACACACACACACACACACACACATACACACACACACATACACACACACACATGTGTTTAGGAGCAGAAATATTCTACTTTATATATGTTTAGGAATACAATATATAACACTATTTTTCTGTTAGAATGACAGTATCCCCCACATTGAGGTTTCTCTCATGTATCTAACACATGCATTTACCCAACTTGTTTAGACCACTTGAAAACTTACCATTTCTCTGAAGTTCCTTAAAATATTCATGTAATAAAAGGACAAGATTTTTCAATTAAAAAGCTATTTCTGCCATTTCGTGACTCATTTCCCTCTTTAAAAGAAGGTGAGTGACAAATTTTCAGTGGAGAAACAAAACACTAGAAACCACCTCACAGTATTGATTAGAATGTAATATCTTAACTCATCAAAATAATAAAAATAAATTAGCAAACGGGAAATAACACAATGTCTCGATACAAAGAAATTAAATGCATAATAATTCATTCCATTAAACTAGAATTTTCAAGTTATCTAATATAGCTATTTTAAAAATGCACAAAAGCCACAAAGAAAAGCAATTAAAAACATGTTTCAAGCAGCATAATATCAGAGCATATTAGGGACCATGGAAGCAACTATCGATAAAAAGAATGAGGGGACAAAAAATATTCTCTATAGCAATAATGCCAAAGTAGAAGAAATGATACCAATAAGCCATTCTCTCAACTCCTTTGGAAAACTAAGCTTTGTTCACATTTTACTAAGATTTAGAGTCTATAGTGGTTTGCTGGTTAATGATATTAAGTTTTCACTCCTGTCTAATGTGGTCAAGCTACAAATTTAAATAACACAACAGAATACTTATTTAAAGCATAAGCTCCTCTAGCAATGGTCTCTAAGACTTCACTGATGGAGATCCAATAGCATCAGATAGGTAAGCCGTTAGTAGGGAAGAAATTTAGAAGTGCAATATGCCTTTTATTACAGAAGGCTGATATACTAATAACCAGAATCTTCACTGAAAATATTGACAGCTTGTTTTCAATCTGCTGTATGACAGTGATGGTGGCAAAGAACATTCCGCCACCACTGCATCCTTGAAGTGCCAAGAGATTTTCTGAATAATTCAGGTTTTCTGCAATCTTGTCCAACTGTAAATATTCAGGAATTCTTGGGGCATGTTGTAACATCTTTCTGAATGTTTTCTTAATAAAACTACCCACATATTCTGCATCTTATACTGCTAGTAATGATTCATTAAAACTGCCTTTGAAAACTGGAAATTCTCCAGATCTATAAACTTCAATTCCCAGAATTCCTAACCAATATAGCCACTGCTGAGAATTTTGAGAGTCAAAATCCGTTCATTTGAAAGTATCAGGTTTGAGGAAGACACATCTACAATCTACAAATCTATTCATAATACTATTGAATTTGGTTTGATGTTAATGAACGAAACTTGCTTTGTAAAAATGTGCGTTGCCATCTCCTTAAGAAAGCCAGGAACATCTCATTTTGATGAATACTGTATCAAATCATGAATCCCAGGAGAACAATTTGGCTCTGTTCAGAGTAGCTCACTTCTCTTGCCTCCCTTCATTAGTTGTGATCAACAGGTAATATCTGTTTCTTTTTACATCACTGTTGCCATAAAAGTGGCACTGCTGCAATTCTTTCTGAAGACCCTTGCTCTGGCCACATAAATCTTAATGGCTGTTAATCGCTCATAAATATTCTCTTTCTGGAAAACAATATTCCATAGTAATGTATGACTATTTGGATCCAAAAGAAGAAAGGTGGTGCCCTGTCATCATCATCTTAATTTGAAGGCATATTTTTGAGACCACCTGGCTACTGTGTGAGTCCAGGAAAATCCATGAGAGGTTTGGTTGTCATGCCCATGGATCATAGTGCCACAATATTGTATTGTGCAACAAATTAATATGATCATCTACCTAAAAAATGTTGCAATAGAAGTTTCTTGGAGGCTTCTGTCTTGTAGTTGGAATAGTAGGCCTTTTTATTCTCGAGTATCTGGGTTGTGCAATACAATATTGTGGCATTAGAACCTAACCAATATATTAACAGCCATCATGTTATGGCAGAATGATTACCCTGCGCCCACCTATCTATAATAAGAAATGGGGAGAAAACAAAGTAATGAGATCAGGGAGAAATAAAGTGCAAAAAGTAGTGTAATAGTGTTAAAGCCTAAATATAGAGACAGTTATTAAAAGAAGGGTCTTGGGGAAATTTTAAATTGCTGAAATACAATTTAGAAATAAATTCAGAAATAAGATCTAAGACTTGAATCAAAATAAAAATGTTTTATCTCATCGTGCTGTTATTAACTTTCCAAACCCAGGACAGTTTCATTATCAACACTGACACCAACAACGCTAAGTTTGAGCTTTAACAAATTATACCATCTGTCAAACTAAGGGATAAGATTTCTTGTGTTGGAAATGAACTTTTTTTAATCTTCAAAGATGCCTTGGAGATGGTGCTTTTGAATGACGCTGAGTTTCAAGTTCAAATTCTGTGAGATTTAATACCTGATTTTTGTTTGATTCTTCTGATAAATTATGTCTACCTAAAAAGAGTACATAAGGAAAAAGAGATCATGGCCCTCACAAACAGTATAAGCCTGGCAACATGAGACATAGAGGACAGTTTCATGCCTACTACAATAATCGCCAAAATGATGACATGGTGCCCTGCCATTGCATATGATGCAACTATGAAACTGTGTTTCAACACGTGTCATCATGTCCCCCCTCCCTTTCCCCACTGTGGTTACCCATGTATGGCTAACTCTAGAAGATGGCCTTAGAAAGCTACCATTTAAATCAGGGGCGTCCAAACCTGGGAACTTTTAAGACTTGTGGACTTCAACTCCCAGAATTCCCCAGGGAGTTGAAGTCCACAAGTCTTAAAGTTCCCAGGTTTGGATGCCCCTGGTTTAAATCCATGGCACTTTTGCTTTGGAGTCCACTACAGTGCTCTGCGCTGTTTCCTTGCACTTTTCAATACTTATTCACATGAGTGAGATCACCTAGGATATGAGCTAAGAAATTAACGTTATGCTGATGAGATCAATTTTTTTCTCAGATGAGAGAGTAGGTGTGCTCAGTGAGTGCTTGTAATGGATAGGCTTTGTGCCAATAAGTTAATGAAATGGAAGTGCTGAGGTTTATCTACCTCAGGGAGTCATCCTGTTCTCTCAAAGAACAAGTGTACAACTGGATGTTCCTTGATCCAGCTTTGTTCTCAGAAACATGTACTGACTGATTCAGAAACTATGTTAGATATAAAATAATTCATTTTGATTTAGCATATGTGAAGCCAGCCATCAGCTTGTAAACCATGATTTCATAGTCCAATATCCCAACAAACCATGGACTAGCAAAACATGATATAAAGGAATGTCTTTTTCACGATCAGGATGGCATACAAGTACTTTAGCTGTACTTCATTTTCATTTTCTCACTTTATTTTTCCTGCTTTTTAATCATTCTTACTTAGTACCTATATTACTGGAACAAATTATGTGTTGAAGTACTTGGAAGATACTTCAGAAATTGAAATTAAGTTTTAATGTAGTGTTAAGATTACCACATAGTAGTAACACTGTGATCTTTTAAGGTGAAGGTCCTTTAATCACTCTCACTCAATTCAGTCTGCTGCTTCTGTTCTCTAAATTCTGCATGGTTCAAACATTGAACTCATATTTTTTTGCCATTTTAGATTCTGTTTTGTGTTTTGAATTGTTTTATTTAATTCATTGTCATTTCTACATTGAAAGCTAATGTGGTTATTATTTGGAGTATGAAATAGAAAATGAATTATTAAACTTAGTCATTAAAAACAAGACTTTTTTCTATATTTATATATTCAGCCTAACACTTATACAGCAGCTCTTCAAAATTTCCACCAGACTTAATACAAGCTGTTATTTCCTACCGGAGCAGATGTGGATGTAATCTGGATCTTTTTTTTATGTGCACCCCCCTCCTTTTCTACTACTGAGCCATGCTTCTTTCTCACTCAGTGTGTGGTTCTTTGCCATTGGTATTTCACATCCACATTCAACAAACCAAACCAAATTCCACATAAATTGTTAGTGTGCTTCCCTTTCCATTCCCTCCCAGTGCATCAATGCAGGGTGTTTTCACTTTCAGACTTGAGCCCTCCAAAATTCAGACAGCTTGCACATGTACATTGAGTGCACCGAGGAAGGCACCCCTTAAGTTACTTCCCTTCTAGCCACTTCCAAATCACCAACTCTCTTTAGAGCCGGTCACAACCAAGGGACCCAGAGGCCAAGCGGTCGCCCATCGCAACACAGCAACTATCCTTCTAGCCTAAGTTAAAGGACCGGGGAAGAGACCGTCTGCAACGTTTTGGGACCCCGCGAGCTGAAGACGCAATATTTGGGGGATGGTTTTCCCTGCTCGGGAACCGCACCCGAACTCGGGGCGCCGGACGAGGCACGAAAGAGGAGGAGGATAGCTGCAAGAAAGAGCGGGGATCCCGCACTCGGCACTCTCCAGAGCAGCGTCCCGCACTGGGATCCAGGGATCCATTCCCGCCAGAGACCCTAAGACAGGTGGTGGGGGTGGTCGCCGTGGCTATTATCGCTGCCATATTGGGGGGGGGAGCGAGGAAGGAGGGGACAATCAACAGGGGTGCTTCTCCCCCTCCCCATAGCCCCACGGCCAGCGCTGCCCCCGGGCCTGATCGATTCCTGATCGATGGCTGAACAGCTGGGCTTGGAGCGCCCGTGGAAGGAGCGCCGCCGCCGCCTCGTTTCCAGCAGCTCCGGGAAGGACGTCGGAGGCGTCCGCTGCAGCTGCCCATCCCCTGCCCCTCGCCCGCTTACCTTCACCGACGACGCGCGGCAGAGCCCAGGCGGGCGCCGGCAAGGCGCTCCCCCTGCCGCGCTCCCACCGGCGGCTCCTCTCTCCTTTCCCCTCCGCTTCTGCCCCGCTGGGCCTCCCCGGAGTGCCGGGAGCCCCTTGGTCCGGCCGGAGCCGCCGGCAGGCTCCCTCGACTCGGCCCCAGCTCAGCTCTGGCGGGCC